TCTAAATGACCACGATATTTCAACCATGGACCAGCAGCACTAATATGATCTGTTGTACATTTTCCTTTTATCTTAATTAATATTGGGAAATCAATAAAATCTTTTCCATCCCATGGTTCAAATGGTTCAAGTAATTGAAGTCGATTACTTTTTGGATCAACATCAACTTTAAGTGACTCATTATCTTTTGGTGGTTCTTGATAAGTATCAACACCAGGATCAAAACCTTTTGATGGTAAATTATCACCTGTAGGTGCTTCTAATTTAAATTTACTACCATCAGCAGCTGTTAAAGAATCAGTTAAAGGATTAAAACGAAGATCACCACTTAAAACCATTGCTGTAACAAGATCTGGTGATGTAACAAATGCATGTGTATTAGGATTAGCATCATTACGTCCAACAAAATTACGATTTTAAGATGAAATAATAGTATTTTTTTCATTTTTTTTTACATCTTTTCGATCCCATTGACCAATACATGGACCACAAGCATTTGCTAAAACAATTCCACCCATTTGACGAAGTTTTTCAGCCTTAAAAAATTAATTAAATTAGATGAAGAACAAACAAATTGTAAATAAAATATTTTTTCTTACAATTCCATCACGTTCAATTGTTGCACGTATTTGTTCAGAACCTGGTGTAACTGTAAATGTTGATTTAGCTTTAATACCTTTATCTATAGCTTGTTGAGCAATACTAGCTGCTCTTGTCATATCTTCATATGAACTATTTGTACAACTACCAATAAGACCTATCAATAATAATATAAAGAAAATATTATATTAATAAATTTTGTTAAAGATATTTACCAACTCGAATATCAAGTGGCCATTTATTTTTTTTTGCTTCTTCAGCTAATTTATCTATTGGATGTGCAAGATCAGGTGTAAATGGACCATTTACATGTGGTTCAAGCTAAACAAGATTTTTAAGAATAACAAAAAATAAAAAACTGTTCCTTTTTTCTCATAAAAATGTTGTTTTACTTCAGATAAATTAATATCAATAATTCGATCATATTTTGCATCATCATCAGCTGTTAAAAGTTCACTTTGATATTGATTAGCAAGATTAGCAATATCTATTTTATGAAAATAAATAAAAATTTCATTTTAAAAATCATATTCTACCTTCACGTTTTGTTGCTTTAAGATATTCAACCATACGTTTATTATAAGGAAATACAGATGTTGTAGCACCTATTTCTGCACCCATATTACAAATTGTACCCATTCCTACATGAAAAATCATATTTTTTTTATTTTTTTTTGATTTGATAAAAATAAAAAGTTAGATTTTTACCAGTGCATGAAATTGAATCAACACCAGGTCCAAAATATTCAATTATTGCACCAGTACCACCTTTAACTGTTAGAATACCAGCTAGTTTAAGAATAACATCTTTTGGTGCTGTCCATCCATTCAATTGACCTGTTAATCGAACACCAATAATCTTAAAAATAATGAAAAAAAAAATATTTTCTTTGATTGATTTCATAAATTTTGTTTTTTTTTTTTTCGTCTTACTTTTGGACATTTAATTTCCCATGGCATATTAGCCATAACATCAACAGCATCAGCACCACCAACACCAATACAAAGTCCACCAAGACCACCACCATTTGGTGTATGACTATCAGTACCAATTAATAATAAACCTGGATAAGCATAGTTTTCTAGAATAATCTTTGAAGAAAATAGAAAATCATGTTGTGTTCTACAAAACTAGTGTTTGATTTTCATACTTGATGAATAATACCACTTCCTGGCTTCCAAAAACCAATATTATATTTTGCACTTGCTGTTGCCAAGAAATTAAATACTTCTTTATTAATATCCTATAATAAGTTAAAGTTCAAGTAGATGTCATACACATTATTGAATATATTCTATTTAGTTTCTTATTTTCTTAAATAATCGATTAAGCATGAT